GGATAAGGACATTTCGTTGTTAATCACGTAGCTAGATATTCACTTCTAATCGTACTTTGTAACATTTTCGTAGGTCTGCTGGACTTTATCGATGCATTAATAGTTGAGCTGAATTCTAGGTAACAATTATTTTTAGTATTGTTAAGATTTCATGCATTTTAATATTAACAATATAATATACAAATAAATAACCAAAAGGGACAATGTTATTGTATCTTTTGAACCAGCAACACCTTGTACTTTTAACTCAAATGACGCACCTGAATCATTTTTTCTACCACCTAACCTCACCAACATACTCGACATCCCCTTTTATATCTCGCTGATTAAAATACTGCTTGATAAATCGGATCATACTATTACTATTCTAAGAACAATAAGTTTTACCTATACTCATTTCCCCCTCCTAACTTCTCGGCCTGCTTACTTGAAGCAGTTGGTCAAAGATATTGTCTTGAATGAAGATATATTCGAACGAATGGTTTGCCATTGGTCGAGAAATATTCGAATCTACTTTATGAGATTGTTAGTGTGGAGAGTCGGAAGAATTGGTGGAGGAATTGGGAAAAAGGAAGACGGTAAAGATTCCGAGGATGAAAGTGAAGATATTATAATTGAGTAAGTTAACCTTATATGAACATCCTCGGACTGTAGATTTGTTTCGAATTAAATAATATTAACAACTCTTTCTTCCACTTCAGGATTTTACTTATTCTACAAGATAGATTAGAAAACTTGCGACTTTGTCATAAATTTTTAACTGATTATTCAGGAAATATTGAAGATGTTGAACAAGATATCAAAAGTAAAGCTACAAACGAGCCTTCCGAGTTAGCTGATAATACTAATAGTGACGGCCAAAGAACATCTAATAATTTAGACCAAGAGAACCTAAATCCTTCACCTCCGTCATCAGTTACTTCTGAATCTAAATCTTCCGCTTCATCGGTAAGAAGACACAGGAAACTTTCTATAAAAGGATTAGTTCCGTCATCTGGCAAGGAATCTTCGACAGCCACAGTTCTTTTTCGCTGGATGTTTTCTAGCAGATCGCCTAAGAATTCTCTTGATTTGGATTCTTCATCGACAACTACTATGAATACACCGCCTGTTCCCATACGCAGAAGCAGTATGCGATTATCCAGCCTTGCCTGGTATTATGCTCCTCATAGGCATACATATGCAGGAAAAGCGATTGCAGAGTATGAAGCCGTTAACCAAGAATATGCCGAATGGTGTGCTCAGGTAGCAAATGTAGAAAGAGGGACTTTATTTAATAACTCTAATGTTTACAATTCTGTGATAAATTCAAACATAAATTCGATGGGAGCGAGGTTTCCTGGTTTGAATGTGGAATATCCAAAGTATTTCGGAAATTCGTTGATGTGAAATTATAGAATTGATTCACCTTGAGTGTGCGAATTTATTTATGAAACTGACACTGAATTTTTTTTTTTTTTTTTTTTTCTGTAATTAGCAAAATTTTCAAAGCCCCTTGTTTTCTACACTCAAATAAAGATAATTTGGAAATGCTTTTCCATAAAATGTTATTTTAATATATTTGTAAAAGCTAGACAAAAATTTATGATAATTAATGAATAATTCTATTCAAGAAGACCAAATCTATTCGCCTTTTTTGGTTCTGACTCTTCGATTTACTCTGCTTCTATTTTTTCCATTACCATTCCCAGCGCCTTTCATTTTTCCATTTCCTTCATTACCATTACCATCACCATCACCACCGTCACCATCACCATCACCACCGTCACCATCACCACCATTGCCATTGCCATCACCATCACCATCACCATTGCCATTTTCGTTATCTCCACCGCCATTACCTTGATCGCCCATATCTTGGCCGTTCTGCTGACCTGGCTGTTGCATCGGCATCATTTGTTGTGAAACTACTGCAGGTTGTACAGGCGTGCAGTACATGAAACACGGTGAGAAACACCCGAACCAACCAAGGCGTGGAAAGAGGCATCGTTTTTGAAGACCATTAGTTTCTTGAAGTTGAGTGGAGTTACCTGTTAGTGGTAATTGTACTGATGGTGACAATGTGGAATTGTCGGGAGGGTTAGGAATGGCGATCAAAAGTTGTGGGAAGATAACAAATAAAAAAATTAAAGAAAAAAATAAAAAAAAGTTTCTCGGATAGGGCATGATCGATACAGTATATTGATTTTATCTTTATTTTAAAAGGTTTTTAATAAGAGTCAATTTATTCTTCTTAATGTTATAAAAGTATTCTTGTGAGCGTGTTTGTTTGAATTTGCTGAATTGAACTCGAGCCGTATTTATAGAACTTTTCTTTGATGCCTTACATCTTCCCAAAGGTCCTTCAAAATGGAAGAAGGAATATCATGAACCGCCAATTTCGATGCGACGCGTGCAATATAGTACGGCGTGCAAAAAATTCACCCAAATTCAGGATTGATTTTTGAATAAAGTACAAATTTCAAAAATTTATTTCGTATAATGGCGAATTCTTAACCATGAACTATTTCTTTTTAACATTGAAACTTCTACATCGTCGAAAACATCTCATTTATCACGTTTTGTCATATGGCTTGAAAATAAAGTTGATAAAACAGGTGGATCACAAATTAAGCGCTGTATGCTTTCATTTGAGAAAAAATTTATCATAGCGTTCATGCACAGATAAAATATCTATAATGTATATCCTTTGAATTAAAGCCGTGATTTACAGCATGTATCTATCATAAAGGAACTAAAGTACGGCGAATTTTTAATTACTGCATGTATATACTTGAATTTGTTTTATTGTTGTGAGGCCGATCAACGAGTCTTCTTTCTGATCCTCGGGCGCCGGCCGCATCAAATAATTGAATACGGTACTTTGAGATACTGTATGTAGGAATAATCTAGTCAAAAAGCTATGGATGAATTGTAATTGAAATCACGTGATACTTATAGAAAGGCATGCTTAGAAAAAATTTTATTATTTGTTTTTTATTTTATTTTATTTTATTTTTTTTTTTAACCCGCAATCATGCCACGATGGCTTGTCTTTATTGAAAGATTGAAATAAAATTTACAATATTTTACAGACTTTCACAATGTGACTAACTCATCTTTATACAAAAGTACTCTAAGTCAGATTTTGGGAACAATATTATACTTCCCCAATAGATTGGTAATAACCTCTATCTATCAGGATTATTGTCAACAGTTTGTCACTGTTGATTGCCCCAAAAACCAATGAATTGCTAAGTTAAAAGGGAAAAGGGGAAAAATTATTGGGGAAAGGGGACAATTCAAGGTCCACCAAAAAAATCCAAAAATAAAAACAACCTCTTCTCAAAAGGGATCTATCTGATTGAAATAGTCTTCTTGCTTCACTTGAACCTCAGAAGAAATCTTCTTTTTCACCACCTGCGGCATCGGACGAGTCAATCCAA